TATGAATGCTGGAATTTGAATTCAAACCGAGGCAGTAGAGATCCAGACTTGATATTCTTAACCACTCTGCCAGTCTGCTTCCTGGAGTTATGAGGAAGAAAAACCGAGATAATAAACATATTAATAAAATCATTTTGTTAGTAAAATATCATACATGCATAAAGAACCATTTTCATTATTCTTTCCTCCATATTTATCCTGATGCCATTTCTACTCAGCAATGAAAACTCTTATATGGTAGAGTCATAAGGTCTATGTGCCCAGAGAATGGAATTTCCCACAATTTCCACAGTTCAAGTCTGGGCTGCCAGTAAAGAGATACCTCAGTGTCTGCTCTTGGCTGCTTGGGATTAGAGAACAACAAGAAGTTGGAGCCAGAGCCCAGGAGATTATTTAGACTAGAATTGCAGTCAAAAATGAAAAGAAATAGTTGGTGCCAACTGCAAAGTCCCAGAGGGGAAATACTGTTCATATCCTGAGAAAAAACTTACTGATGTCCCATACTCAAGGCATGGCAGGAACCCAAGCTAGATTAGATGGAGTTTTGCTGCCAGATGACTTTTCTAAGTAGGCAGGGAGCCCACCTGGTGAGACTTAGGTTGTTGCCTCAAAAATTTAACTCTCAGTTATTCAGGGATTCTTCTAAGATATAGTAACCTCCCTACAGACAGAGGGCTAGGGGCAGCAGAGCAAAGGAAATGAAGAACATTTGCTGGAAATGACAATCCAGAGAGGAAACTTCATGGGCTGCACCATAGCTGCCTGTCTGAAAGAAGAAAAAACAACCTTCTTCTAACCAGGGCCTATTCCTGTTAATTGCACTTCAGAAACAAGCACCACACACTAATTACCTCATTTGAAAACAAAGATTAGATGGCATAATCCAAAGCAACCACATAGTCGTAGTTTTTCAAATATTTCACAGGGTTATTTTCCACATTGAATATGGTAGCCATGGTGACATTATGTTCCAATAACTACTATTAAGTTGACGAGATCTTGCATAAGAAGGGTCAGACTGGTGACCACAAATCATGGCTTTAAAACAAAGGAAGAAATTACAGACAGTATGGGATTGTACAAAAGACAAGATCTGGAACTGGAGGACCAAGGCTTGAGTCCTACTTCTGCCTCTATTAGTCATCAGACCCTGAGCAAATCACTTAGCCTCTTCATTTCTTTGTTTCTACATCTACAAATGGGGATTACACTCACTCCTGGAACTGTTGCGGTGATTAAA